ATATGTCACTATAAAAAAAAAATTCATTTTAGTTTTTGATTAAATAATTGGATCATGATATTATACAATTTATATATATATATAAATATTAAAAAAATAAAAAATATTTCAATAATAAGGCGAAAATTACCAATCCTAATACATTGTGAGATAAATTGACTAATAATATGGATGAACATTAAAATTCTGCTAATAATAAAAATTATAATCTAAAGATTCATCACTGTTTGCTGAATAATTATTAAAAAGTTTTTTCAAAAAGGGGATAGCTTCATCCCACCGTTCAAATCATGTTACATAGCATCTACTGTATCCTATTAAATTTTCATTGGAATATATCTATTAAACACAAGGGAAACGTTTAATGAATGTCATAATGAAATCTAACTTGATATGTTTTTTGAAAAAAGTAATCTAATATTTCATGCTTAATACCACTTAGGTTATATGCAACATAGCTCGCGATGTTATTTTGCAATACACGTCTTCTCATTGCAATTAATTTCCGGAAGAAACTAAACTATTTTTTAATCTATAGGAATACATGTTTTTCTATAAATAGTGCAGCTTTTGTTGTTGCAATACGCCATTGCGTACACATTACTCAATATTGCATAGACGTCACACTAATGGAATAAGGATAGCCAGGAAAAACCTTTTTTTAAACAGAGATACATTACTTTTGAACCCCAATAACAATACAATGAATTTTGGTGATGCATTCTCGCATCGCATTTTCTCTTGAACTGTGACAGTGTGTTAAATAAACGTTATTATAAAAGAAAGAAAATTCACTTTAATAATAATTAAAAAAATACTTATATCTAAAAAAGTTAGTAAAAATTATAGAATTATTAATTGTACTATAGTATTACAAGCCAAAATAACCTGGCCACTTAAGGAAAGTAGTAACAATTAAAATTATAATAGTAAAATTTAATATTTCAGTCTATACTGATTTTTTTTCTTATAGATTGTATTGAATGTTGCATAAAACTGCCATTAAATCAATGAGAATTAGAGTATAATAATGAATTAATATTCTCGCTATATTTTGAGGTATGACACAGAAAAATCCAGATTGTTCATTTTATTGACAATGAAAATAGAAAAGTTTTCTTAAGAAATAGTTTCAAAAATTAAATATAGACACATAGTTAAGTAGAAGATAAATAAAGTAATTTATAGCTGATTATAATTAACCGCGTAAGGTACCTACGTAAGGTATCAATAAATATCATAGTATTAAAGATCTAATTTTAAAAACATAATACAACACTAATAATTAAATTAGTTGAAAGCTGAGATATTATTTAACTAACTCACAGTGCTCCTTATAAATTTTTACAAAAGACCGTTTTTAAATAACGACATTTGACATGGATTTATTTACTTTTATTATTAACTGTTTATTATATATTCTACCTATGTTAAATTTAAACAAATCAACATTTGTATAAATCTTAAAAAAAATTTATATTCTTTAATATAATAGTTACATTAAAGAATAAAAATATGAACACTTAATATTTATGTTTAAAAATAAACAACTACAAAGTTGGTTACCAAGGTCATTGTTCTGCATAGGCCTATAAACTAACTTAGATTATAGGCTTATGTTGTTATGACCCTGTCAGTGGTGCAACTAGCGTGAAAGTTGGCAAAGTGATACTTATTGGTCCAAGGTTTTTTTTTTTGCTATAATAATATAAAAAATGTTATAAATTTGTACTAAAAAAAGACCGTTAATATTTATAGATAAGTCATTTTCAAATTGAGATAGTTTCTTTGGGCCCCATTAAAAATTATGCCACTGGAGCCAATAGATTACTTGAATAAATGTTCTTATGAAAAGAGATCTCATTAAATTTAACAAAATGTATTATTTTAGCTGATAATGTCATTAACGTTAACAATAATGTTGAAAGAATTTTTGTATAACAATATCAAGACATCAACGGTTCATGTTTTAACAAACTATATAATAATGAAATGACAAGTTTCATTTAGCATCACAAAATGTAAATGATTATTTAAAATAACACAATTATTTATATTATAATATATATCGTAATTTTTTGTTTAGAATTTTAGTATTATGAAATATGCACAAAATATTTCAACAAACTATTATACTAATTTAAAAATTAACACTGATTTAAGAAAAATGAATGAATAGTATTTTTATTTCTAAAGAAATTATTTGTCGATCAACCACAGTGTTTTTTAATTCATGCGGATTCTTATCACATATGTACTAAGAATTAAAAAAAAAAAAAATTATTCACGAAACTTAACTTTTAATTAAATAAGAAGAGTGATAAATACATAGAAAAATAATGATTTATTAAGGTTGAATATATTTCTGTCGAACGATTACAATTCCATAAATCAGAAAAATATCTAATTGTTCAAAAAGAAAATTTGAAAAAATTGTAAAATACATTATCTTCCTCAGATTCTTTTTAAATGGAGATGAGTCCAGTAAAACAAATGTTATGTTTGTGCCTATCAGGAACAATAATTCCATTTTAATACGATTTAACCATTCAGTGTTAAAATTATTTTTTTATGTTTCTGAATAATTATTTTACTACTAGTTATTTATTAGTATACATGTTTGTTTTTATTAAGTTTAAATTAATCAATACTTTTTAATTTACAATATGATAAAATAAATGGTTGAACATAAATTTAAAACAAAAATAAGGGTCAAATAGATAATTTTAATAAAAGTCCGGTAGTTTCATTTTCTAAAAACTGGGGGGACGATTTAGTTCAAAATTACACAAACTTGTTTTTTCCGCTGAAGAAACTGAAATATTGAAGTTGGGTCTTAAAACAAGTTTTTTACCAAAAAAATGTCCAATGGAAGATCTACTAGTAGGCATTGAAATGGGGGTTAAAAGTGTTGATTTTAATAATCAAGACTTAGCAAGAAGGAAGTGTTTAAATTTTCTACAAAAAAATTCTGTTATAAATAAAGGGGGTTTAGGAAAAAATGAAAAACATTCACGACTCATAAAAGACTTAAAAAATAAAAACTGTTTTTATTTAAAGGCAGATAAGGGGAATTCTGTTGTAATACTAAAGAAAGAAGATTATTATGAAAGAGTATCAAGAATGATTCAAGAGGGTCCTTATAAAGAAATTAAAAAGAATCCATTAAGTAAAATGATAAGGGAGGCTACAAACGTCATAAATAGTTCAAAATTAATAATCGAAGAAAAGTTCAGGTTTCTTATTAAAATTTCAAACCCTCAAATACCTTAACAATATGCTTTGCCAAAAATACATAAGTCAGGAAGTACTATGAGACCTATTGTGTCGAATATTAATGCTTCGACTTACAATTTGGCTAAACACCTAGTAAGTTAAAAATAATATTGACTTAGTTAAACAATTATCTCGTTATATCATTCAAAATAATGACAGTTTAATTTCTTTTGACGTAGTAGCCTTATTTCCGAATATTCCAATAAATATAACAATTGATTTTCTTAAAGACTGGCTAAAGAAACAAAACATTGAACAGGATAAAATAAATGAGCTTATTAATTTAACAAAGTTATGTATGAGTCAAAATGTTTTTCAGTTTCAAAATAAATTTTATGAGCAAACTGAGGGCACAGCAATGGGAAATCCGCTATCACCATTTTTAGCAGAACTTTTCATGAGTAGGTTTGAAACAAATTTAAAATACACTTACGGTGATTTTCCAAAAATTTGGGTTAGGTATGTAGATGATATTTTTGCAGTTATAAATAAAGATTTTAATATGGGGTTTTTCATACAACATTAAGAACAGAGGGCNTTGCCTTTTTTGGATTTATTAGTTAAAAGAACAGAGGGGGAACTAAATTTTGAAATTTATCGGAAAAACACACACACGTTCAGATACATTCCGAACACATCGAACCACACCTGGCAACACAAATTGTCAGCTTTTAATAGTATGGTTTACAAATTAATTAATATTCCGATGAATAAAATAGATTTTGATAAAGAATTGGTGGTTTTAAAAGAAATAGCTAAATTTAATGGGTATAACGAAAACATAATTTCAAAATTAGTACGAACACAAAAGTGGAAAAAGGAAAAGAGGGCAGCTAGTATACTCACCAGCGAGGGGGAACAAAAAGTAACTAGATCACCAATATTATATTATCCGGGCATCTCAAATGGATCAACTAAAATATTTAAGAATTTTGGTATTACTTTGGTAACATCTAAGAGTAATAATTTAAGAGATTTATTAGGTAACCCTAAAGATAAGGTAGATGAAGGGGGGAAATCAGGCATTTATAAAATACAATGTGAAAGTTGTAATAAATGTTACGTAGGACAAACAAAAAGAAATATAGGGGTCAGGTTTAAAGAGCACTTAAGAAATATTAAAAATCAAGAAGTTGAGAAATCTCCAGTGGCTGAACATTTATTGATACATAATCACTCCATTAAAACCATAAAACTAATTAAAAACGTTAAATAATTACAAAGAACTTAATATCAGAGAAGCAATAGAAATGTTTAAAAATTTTTTTAAATTAATAATGTTTTTAATATAGTTTTAATTTTACTTAATTAATTAGCCACAAGTGATCAAATTTTATTATATTTTACAATATGATTTTTTAAGAATACAATTTACTTATACATGTTATTTTTCTAAGTTTTATAGGTTTAGTATTTATTTGTTATATATATAAACATTGTATTCTTTTTTAATTCCACTTTTTTACATACCTAATATTTCAAGAATGTTGTTGGTACTTAAGGATGATAACTTTGGTAATGTATTACTATAATGAATACGGAATTTTTATTTTTTTTTAATTTACTCATTTTAAAGTAATGTTTTATTAATGATTTACTCATTTATTTATACAACATTACGTTGCAATATTGCATAAATTGATAACAAATTTATGTTTTATAACATTACTCATAAACACAACTGCAAGGCTACTTCTTTAGGTAATTATAATGTTTTACTAAAAATTAGTTTGTGGTATTAAGTTACATAGAAATGAAAATTAAGGGTTCTTTAAATGTTTAGGTAACTGAAATAATTCACAAATTATAATACTCTGTGTTTCCATAAGCACATTGCATAAACGGTGGGAATTTTCTATTTTTAACAAAATCATATACAAAACTTGATATTTTCATATAATACAATAGTGTTTGTAATTTTATTTTTATAATTGCTTTACAACAAAAGCATGTAAATATTATTTTAAATACTAAATAAAAGAAAATTTTTTTTATAGCACTCATGTTTTAATAAAAATAATTTATTTAAGACTTTCAAATCAAAATTCACCAAAGTCAAGCTTCTCTCTTTTCTTAGCAAACACTTCAATTATTATTTTACGAATTTGTTTGCAAATTTGATCGTTTATTTTCTAAATACAGTTTCCTACAAAAAAGAAATCGTAAAACTTAAAATATAGTTCATAGTTTTTATTTTAAAAAATGCCTTTGTTTAAAACAATTGAATGAGTTCTTTTTCTCTTTTTTAATGGTTTCCTTAAATAAAAGATTTTTACTGACAGATTATTTGATTTAAATCTAGTAATCATATTTAAAATTAAAAAATTAAACAAATACTGGATATTATATAATATTATCCAGTATTTGTTTAACGTTAATGATTATAATAAAGTTGTCAAATTCGTATTTATATGGTATATTATGATAGATTTTAGCGACTTTTAGAATTTAATATTTTAAATTATTTTTTATTGATTTAATAATAATTTTGAAATTTTAATAGTATTTGCCACAAGTAATCGTAAAATTTAGGTAATTAATTTGAACACTTACAAGTAAATAAAAAATGCAGGTATAAGCAATATAGAGGTAAATATAAAAAAAAAACCAGGAAATATTTCCATTGATATTTTGTAAATTGCACTATATAATGGTATGTATATTACAGGAACCAGAGTTTGTATGATTGCGATTATTGAGCAAACTTGTCCTAAAGAATTTTTTAGTTTAACAAGGTGTAATACAAATTTTTAAATTAAATTCAAATTACTTACCAATTTCATGTGGAGGAACAATTTTAGATAAAATAGAGCGCATAATTATGTGTGACGATGTAAAAATAATCTCAACGATAACACCTAAAATAATAAATATATTCAATAAATTGTATTCATAAGCAAAGTGAAAAATATAATATAATACAAAGATAGATTGTTTTTTAATTGTAAAACATTAGTGAAGTCATAATTAAACTCAAATTATTACATAATAATTAAAATAATTGACAGTTAAATTATTCGTTTCATACAAACTTAAAATCATAAAGTTTACACACTTTTTCTACATTAAAAATATATTGCAAATTTATGTTTATATGTAGTTAAAAGTTTGCATTAAGTATCAGTTATCATCTTATTATTACTTAATAAAATTGACTTTCACTATTTTCAAATGAATAATAATAAGCTTACCGAAGTAGAAAAAAAATTTAGAGGTAGCAAATGCAAATATAAATCCCGCTGATAACTTGCTCGTTACAGCAATTAACCCAATTGTTGAATCATCGAAATCCAATAATTTACTGAAAATTCCTAGAGCAATTCCAATACCTAAAATAATGTTTACCAAGATATTTTTATTATTATTATCATCGGTTTATGTTAAGATTCTTGAGTTGTGGTTACACACCAAAGAGCGTAAAACATCCTAACAACAATAATTGTTTAATAACTAATTCATCCCCAGTGCAATCTGTAATTATTACAGGTCATGAATTAGTTGTCAACTGTGTTAGACCAACTTTTTATTTAATTCGAAACAATATGTTTGTTAATATTAAGTAAAACAAAATTTTAAAAAATTGAAAATAACTATTTTTACCTAGTAAATTAATAATGGTGGAAAATGTTGAAAATATGCTGTAGTCGACTTCATCCCATCCAAATTTCAACCGAGTAAACATGTACTCAACCGAGCTTTGCCCTAGTGTAATTAAAATAGTTGTCATTATTATGTTATTATAGGAAACATTCTTAGATTTTAATATTAAACATTTTGTAGATGCTTATTAATTTAGTTCAGAAATAAAAATAAACCCTTTCAAACCATACATTAACTAATATTTTACATCGTTATCTCCATAAAAAAAGAACATAAACAGTTTAATTCGTATAGTAACCCATTGTATCACTCACAAAATCTGTAACTCAGAACAAGACTAACATGAGTTATATTTAGTTCATTTTTCATAAAAGCACAAAAACTTGTCTGTATTTAAACAATTACATGTTTAATATATGATTAGTTTTTAGCTTCAATATGAATTTGAAAAGATATTAATTTTATGCTGATGTGTTTTTTTCTTTGACTATAAAAACTCTCAGTTCTCAATAGACCAAGTTTAATGATTTATAAGTCATACGAATCTGATTTTAATCTGGCTGAACTTAGTAGCACCAAAATTATATTTGGTGTAAAATGTAAAACATTTGTTTCAAAGTTATTATTGTTTTAAACAAAATAAATTTTAAATTGTTAATAACAAGTAAAATATTTTATAAAAAAAAAAAATTATGGTATAATAAAATCTGATTCTGTTTTCTAAGATATGATTAACTTTCAGATTATACACTTGCAGAGAGATCTCAAACAGATATATAATTCAGCAGTAGTAAATGTAATAATCAAAAAGCATAACTTTTAATCAAAAAATATATTTTATTCCCTAATCGAAAAATAATAATACAATAAAATTAGTTAGGTTTGTAATTAATAATTTATTAACTAATTAATTATTAAAATAATAAATCTAGTAAAATTATCTTACTTGGCATAAAAGTTAAACTTTTAATTTTTTTTTTTTTTAAATAATCGTTTTCCAAAGAATAAAATGAAAATATATAAATAAAAAGAAGCAAAATCAGTTATAATGCATTTTTAAGACTTTTACATGTTTTTTACTATATGTAATGTTTTTGTAGGCTATTTATTAAGAAAACAACATTAAGGTTATTATTTTTTTAATTTCTTGTAAAATTTCCTTTACCTGATTTTTATTTTCATAATTCTAAGTTAAGCAAAAAGAAAGTTATAAGTCATGGATTAGTTATTTCTATTAAATTTGCCTCTTCAACTAAACTTAATAGGTCCGTGGGCACAAATTAACCTTAACGGATCGGTCCAAATTTTTCACAGCTCATTTTTTTGAGCATTAAAAAAATTAAGGGATAGCGTTAAAAAATAGACATTCGATTTTTGAGGGTCCCCTTAATGCATCATTAGAAAAAAATAAATTTTAAATTGTTTTTTGTCGATTTATCTTCACATAGATAACTTCAATTTATTTATCAATTAATAACCTAGTTCAAAAAATGAAAACATTTTTATAACAATAACTTTTATATTTACTATGGTTTGTAAAAATAAATGACATTTTCATCTGTATATTTTAAGAACAAATTATTATTTAACGAAAAAATGGGGGTTATTTTCTCAGTAAATCACGTTGTGTATTTATAAAGTAGCCCAGCTTGTTCTTGCGACTTTAATAACTTTTTATCCAGTTGATATTTTTTAGAACATTTACAAAAAGAGCGATGAATTTTCATTATCAATTCGCATTAATCAAGGGATCGAAACATTTTGCAAATAATTGATTGACACAAAGAGAATCAAAGAAAGCGCAATAGATATAGTATAATGAAATACAGAAATGAACTTTAGATAATAGGAATAAATAATAATCAATTTTACCGGACAAAAAATTAGTCAAGAAGATATAATAAAATGTAAACGACGATGTAAAGGGCGCATGGATAGGATAATAATAAATGAGAAGTATGTAGAGTATTTAGAAGAATAGAGGCTGTTCAAAAAAAATTGCGTTGAACTCTTTTAATAAAATAATGTCTATAATAGTTGTTGGGAGCCATATGAAATAACCATAAACCAAAATAGAACGCATTAGTGAACAATAGATTATTTTTAAATAATATTTTGATTTAAATTTATGAAGTGTAAAAATAAAAACGCCTAATGTTCTAAGTATTTTACAGTAAATAAATTCAAAATGAAGTTTATAAAAAAAGGTAGGAGTAAACCAAAAACTAAAATCATAGACAAAAGAAGTGGATAAGAGAAAAATAGTTGCTGATATTATATAGTTGAAATTAATTGTATCAAAGAGGTGGGGAAAGGTAAACTGTTTGGATTTAGAGATGTTCTAAACATCTCTAAATCCAAACAGTAAATTCCTAATGTATCTCCTAAAGCAATAAGGCTATTAAGGCTATTGAAGGAGTGAACAGTCATCTTGATTATGAATTCCCTTAAACAATTTCATGTCATCGGCAAATATTAATAGCTGAGAATTTTTTAAAACGTGGGCGAAAGTAATGTGTTGATCCTCTAAAAAATAAATTAGGAAAAATTATACAACTATGAACCAGTGATTACATTGTTGTAATATTCATGCATATTATTTTTAAATAATTCTTAAAATATTTGGATGTAAATTATAAGGAAAGTACAATGTTATAAAAATTGTATTACGTGCCAAACTAATATCATAAAAATGTTTGTTATCTAAATATATATATTGTCATTTATTAATCATCTAAATCATATTTAATGTGCAATAAATAATAAAATTATAGCAATATTATAATAGTCTAAAAAGGCGTACGGCATTCGAAATTATCATAAAATAAGAGATGGAGACTTATCAACTATATGAAGTAAAAAGGCTAAAGTAGCAGCCTCTATTTTTTCCTTTGTAGTGCAGTAGTTACTAGATATAGTAGAATAGCTAAGAACAGTATTAAATATAGTAGTGGAGTTAGCTAGTCACTTAGCTATTTAGCACAACACGATGGAAAATGAATAAGAAACAATCTAGTTTGACGTAAACTTCGTGACACTTATCAATATTTGTTCAAATTATTTCTACCTGAATATAATTTATTTTAAGAGCTTAGATAAAAACAACAAAAAGGTAAGTCAATTTTACTAACCCTCGTCATAGATTTTAATTACTAAAAGAATATTGATTGTTTTTAAATAATAATATTTTATGAGTAGTTCAAATCATTATCATAAATATATAAGTAATTAATTTAATCGTATTGTAAGAATACACGGTGTGCACATATATAAGTCCTAGGAGCGAGGCGTCCGTGCTGTTGCCGGCGCCACTCGAGAAAGAAGTCTCCGGAGCGAGACTATGTTAACGCACATTCTACTCAGGTTTACTTGACATACATGAAACCATACTTTTTGGAATTTAACAAATCAACAGAATAATCTCATAATGTAAATTATTTAAATAACCTTATTATTTTTGAACACTTGAACCAGATAAAATATAATAATTAATCATATGTAATAATTTAAATATGGTATTCTACCATATTTAGCAGTTTCATATAAGACTATTAATTTTACATTTTAGTATCATAATAATAACAAAACCTTTGGACTAACATCAAACATGAAAAGATAGTGATGAATATCAGTAACAGAATAGAAGACACTGTTAGCAGGCATTATAAACATAACTATCCCACGGTGTCAAAAACTGAGTGTGTTACCCTACTTGACATCCTAATCGTAAAATCTCTTTGTATACAATCAATAGTATAAATTAATAGTAAATATTTTAATGAGAACATCATCTCAAATTTCATCTTTTAAATTAAAGATGATCAGTTTATCATAACCCACTCAATTACTTGCAAAGTAAGTAGAAATTGAAAAAAAATTATATTTTTTTAGTTACATATATTTCTTGATATATTAATTCATTTTTAGCATTATTCCTTACAATTTATTTACTGTCAACTTTATTATATAAGCTAGATAAAAATGTATGATTTAATTTTAAAAAAATTATTTAATATCTATATTTTATAAGGAATGATGCTAAAAAACAATTAATATCTGATAAGTCAAGAAATATTTGTAACTAAAAAAACCAAAAACTTTTGTTTTAATATTGTACTTTTTTGTCGGAAATAAAATAGTTTATAATATACTCTGAAATATGTGATAATTACCTTTTACTGGACCTTCAACAGTAAAATATAGAATTATAATCATAATAATTTTAAGCGTTCTTCTGTGTGGTTCTTTTTTAAATGTTACTTTAATTGAAGACTTGAAATGATTCATACTAAAGAAGTCCATTATTTGAAACATACATGTTTCATCTGACTTTATTAAGACTTCTCTTTTATGTGTATTATGTTTTTCTCTTACACGTACAAGTGCAATAATAAAGGCTAGTAAAAATAGTAAAGTAGATGCATAATAAACACCATAAAATCCAAATTTTTGAAAAATAACTCCAGAAAAAGCTGTTCCAATAGACCATGCTGTTCCATAAGCTATGTTTAAAAGACCAATTCTCATAGTTCTATTTTTTATCTATAAAAAGATAATTGAAGTTATTAAACATTATTTATGATAAAATATTTTTGTTTATGATTGGTTGATTATTTGTTCAAAAACTATTATAAGTTAATGTTTTTTCATTATTAATCTTTTTTTTAAATAAAATATTCATTCTTACATATTTACATTGAAAATAATAACAGTTTTTTTTATGAAGTGCTTGAAGTTTATAGAGTATAATACATTCTTTTTTAAATGTATAACGATACATGGGTTGTATCTATGCAAATTTAAATAATTTCTATGTAAATAATTTGAAATAATTGACGATGTTTGATCTATTACAATATCTTCAAATATTTAAAAAGAAATAATAATTAATTGAGAAATTACCTTTCAAATATTAACGATAACAGAAAAGTTATATTTTCAAAACTAAAGTACTCAAAAATTATGAAATTATTTTTAATAAATAAATTATGTATTTATTAAGAATTTTAATAACATAATAACGCCATGCAAATAAATTGAACTTTTATAAATAATTAATAAACCGAAGAAACTATAACATAAATTATAGCTTCAAAGCTAAGCTGAGAAAATATTGGATTCGTGATGAAGTGTTGTTTTTATGTATTTTTTCTTATAACTGACAAAACTTTTTTAAAAATGAACAAATCAACATACATTTTTTTCATAAGTACCTTAGGTACCTGCTCTCAATGTTTATAACAATTTACCTGTTTTATTACTTAATGAACACTCTGTATATCATAAATTAAAGATTATGTCACATATTTTATACTTTAGCTGTATTCAATAATATATTTTTTTGAAAAAATTCTTGATATTATATTTTACATTTTTTAACATTATGTTGCCTTAATTTTTTACAAAATTCATGAATCAAAACAATTTATAATTACTATATACAGAGTGTTCAGTAAGTCAGGAAACGGGTTTCTATTGTTCTCATTGTTACAAACAATGAGAACAATAGAAACCCGTTCCCTGACTTACTGAACACCCTGTATATACTTCCTTCATTCGACATACTTTTTTTTTTTAATTGGACCACATACAGAGGGGGTTTAAAACATTAAACATGCGTATAGAAAATATAACTTTATTAACTTAACTTTTAAAAATGTTCTGGAAATACTGACAATTTTATATATACCTTAAATTAAAGCTTGTGTAATATCCTTTAAATTAAACAAAAAATTGACCTCTGGACTTGTCTTCGTAGTAAAAATGGCTATCGTATTCAAAAATGTGCAATAACTTTTTTATATTAAAAGACCTCATAAGGATTTGTCATAATAATGAGTCCACCGATTTTTATAATAGTTACATGAATCTAACTTAAATTGAATAAAAAATTTAAACCTATTTTAAATATTTTGCTGTCTATCGTAAGAAAAATGACTGAATTTCTGTACTAGCATAAATATTTTATTTTTATCTTCCATTTATGTATGATGTACGATTGTCTAGTCGGTTACATTTCAGTCTTTTACACTCGGGGTACAAGGTTCATATCTCGCCCGTGGAAATAATCTATTACATTTTTTTTCTAAATTCTTTTTGAGTTATTCAAAAAAATTAAAAATTTGTTTGATTTTTATCTCATTTATATGGAATAACTTCATTGAATATCAAGGACTCCATCACTATTGTTTCCCCTTGTAAAAAAGAATTTCTTATTCATATTAAAACAATTTACTATGTGGTTTCCTTTAATATCTGTCATTCATTTTTTTCAAGTCTCATTGGACAAACTTTTTCAACGATACGACAAATGATCACAACTAATATCTAGTTAAAGATATTAAAAAAATATATTTATATTCAAAAATTGAAAAAATTTTCCCTTTTATCAAATAAAAATCTGTTTAACCAAATTTGTTCATATAGAAAATTAAAATCATTCATTTCTAATGTATTTATTGTCGAATGAGATTTAATATGATAATAGAATTCAATTACAATGATAAATAATTTTATTTTGTTATTTATTTATTTTTTAACTCCATTGTGTGTTTCACTACTAGTCTGTAATATTCTAAATGTTTTGATAACATGTTATGTAAAAATTATTTAAAAAAAAATAATTTTGATTTCACATGTATTTAACAATGGATATTTGCAATTACAATCAATTTTTATAATACACTATATTGAGTAGATTTTTTTAACAACTTTATGATTGATTTTTATGTATGTCCATAAAAAATCTCAACCCTTATTGGATCAATTTTGATAATCAATATGTCAAAAGAACCGATTTTAATCATCAAATATTGAAAAAACCCTTAATTTTAGAAATTTAGACAAATATATGCTGTAAAAAATAGCAACTTCAAAATAAAATTTTTTTTTAATATATATCTTAACAAATAATAAGAGTATAAAATTTGTTTTTATACTAAATTACACAGTAAAATTACATCACTAAAATGAAACATTTTTTAATCAACATAAACCAAATTGTACTTTGCTTAACGTTTTTAGACTGATTTTAAATATGCAGTATGATTTTTTTCATCACCTATTTTTTTTTGAGATTATTAATAATTTAATAATCTCAATTAAGAATAAGTATTTACATTTAAATATGTTAAAAATAACTGTGCAAAACTTCCATTCAAAATGAAATGTCAAATCTAATTTTTTAGTCTTTTAAAGTTGATTTTTATGAAAGTTTATTATTTAATAATGTGGAACTTATAACCTTTTTTTAGTTCAACTTGCAAGTTTGAAGTTGATATCATTAAATAGAAAATTTTATGAAGATTAAAAAATGGTATTGTTAAGATTGATATATGATCAGGAACTTTTATAATTACTATTAACAGTAAATTTATGAAAAAAGCCCAAATTTCGTTAAAATCACTTATGATATTTTGTGTGTTTATATTGTAATAAAACATTTCAATATAAACTCTTATCATTTTTATGTAACTCTTGATATTTAAATAGATGCTATAAAACTATAATCCCTATAGTTATATGTGGTGATGTGGAATTTAATTGCAGATTTGAAATCAGCTCAAAAAATTGATCAATAAAAGTATATTTTTGTCTCTGATGAAAAAACCCAACCCAACAATTATCTTCTAAACAATTTTGTATCAAATCTTTCAATTTGTATACGTGTTTCTCATATTAGTAACAAAATTTTTATAATTTCTCCGTAAAAATTACAACACTAAGTTATTAAATATCAATTTCATACTATATTTAATTGCTATAATATTTATTTATTTATTATACTTCTAAATCACAGAACTATTAATTAGAAATAATGAAGTAAATAGAAGTTAATTTTGCTTTTGGAATAATCCACCAATTTCTTAGAATTAAACACTATCTACAGGTTTGCATCGAATCGTTTCTTCTGATAGTGTATTTAATCACTGTCAGATATCATCTATACTTGTCTACACTGTGCCTCGGCCCCATTGTGCTACCGTTTTTTTATAATATAATTTACTTTGAATTTTCAGCTAAATATTGAAGTTTTTTATTAATAATATAAATTTCAAGAAAATAAATAAGTTTTATTTAAATTTCCTTCGTGTAAAATGAAAGTCGAACAAATCTTTGACGAAATTTTTTTTGTTCAAAACTTGGTAAAGAGGTCCAAACATTGAAATGACGCCACTTATTTAACAAGCATTTAATTTTGCAAGAAATTTAAAATGATATTTATTGTAAAATTACAAACATATAAATGTGAAATTTAACAGATTAGTATCAAAATGTTTTTATGATAGTGATGTTTATCACTGTATGATATTATATATAACACTATCACAAATATATCGTGTCCCCATTATATTTTTTAAACTCAAATATCTAATACGTAAATAGATGTTTTTAATAATAACGATTAAAAATATGTTAAAATACTCACAGAAGTTATGTCAGTTATGTATGAAAATGCGGCCATATAGAACACTGGCAAACTACCCATTATTGAAGATGGTAAAGACTCAACAAGACCAACTACTTCCAATGGTAATTCGTAAAAGAAATATACACATAATATTAAGCCGGTATTTCGGATTAATTCACCAAATATTGGTAACAATAGAAAAGGTTTTCGTTTTTTGTGACGGTCACTCCAAGAACCAATAAATATAACTAATATACATGGAATACTGTTTTGTATTACTGTTTGCCAAATTAACATATTTGCTACTAATGTTTGTACGACGATTTCTTCATTTTTAAATAAAGTAGCGTTTTTGTTTTCTAATGCAAAACATATCTCTTCAGTATAATTTAAATTCACTCTACATACTTTTCGTAAGTTTAAATTCTGCGTCGTTAAATTTGACATTAGTGATGATATTTGAAAAAATAGTAACACAGGTTCAACTGTTATATTGCTAAAAAAACACTTTACTTTTAAATTAAATTCTTTAGGACTAATTTCTTTTTCATGTTTTTCTCTGTATAAATCTAGCATAGATTTGTTTTCTTCATTATCTTCAATTTTATCCATTCTTTATTATTCCAAAGAAAGTCAATTATTATAATACTTATTTAAATATAAAAAAAATTTACACTAATTGGTATATAACATGTACTAAAAAATGTTCACTACTGTACTGTTACTAAGTTTCATGACTGACAAAAATTTTATGAAATTTAACCATTGTAATGACTTCCCCCACTGATGCTACATTAGGCTCAAAAGATAGTTATTATCAATCGTTTTCGCTTTGTAAAGAAAAACTGGTTTAAAAAAACTACATTCATTCAATCATTTACCAAGTACAGGGAAAATGATTATTTTCTTGTTCAAAAGAAATAATTAATTAAATAAATATTTCCATATTTATTCATATAATTATGTAATTATAATTATTTATATTATTGTATGAAAAACGTAATACCATAAAATAGGGCTATTTTTCACCTTAAATAAAACATTTCACAAAAAAAAAAACGCTTAGTATAAAAACTGTAGTAATAGAGTTGGGTTAGGTTTAATAAGCTAAAAACTTCTCTTCTAGTTCACTACTTAAACAATACTCTTTTGGTGAAGTGTTATATTTAAGAGGCAAAGTAGACCTATTTTATGGTATTTATATTTTTAATTTTATAAATGAGTTTAGAGTTTTCTATCTGCAAATATGAAATGAAATTTTTATATGAGACAAATCTATTTTGGCAATCGTTTATCTTATTTAATATTTATATTTATTGAGAGATAAAAAATGCCAATTTAAGTTAGATCAAAATTTTAAAGTCCATTTTGTCGTCTTAACAAAGACAACCATTTAAAATAAGTTAAACTTTACATTCAATATAAGTTTAATTCATATAACTCTTATGTAAATTGGTGACCTAATCACTGGGGCTTCCACTTGTATCATCCAATTGTACAGTTATTTAGAAATTAATAACGCTGTAAAATTGAAATAGAAAAAAATGTGTACAAAGTACAAATTTGATTTTTTTTAGCGAAGGATATTGATACCCTAAAATATTATTCATGACTTCGGAAAACGCATAAAATTAAAAAATAAATAAATTCTTTTTAAAAAAGTTTAAAGTCAAAATAAATATTTTCGAAAAATAAAATTAGGGGCATTAGTGCCCTAACCACCCATTTCTTAATTGTCCAATGCACTTTACACTAATTTCTTTAAAAAACTTTTAAACCATTTTTGTATTACAATGTATTATATTTTTTGAATTTTGTAATTTTTACACAAAAAACATGGTATTAAAGTCAAAGAAAAAATATTAATATCCGTCTTTACAACGGCGACAAGTCCATAGGTATATATAAAATATTTGTTGGGTTGGGTTTTATGATTTATTTTTCAAAAACTTATGGTGATAAAAAGTAAAAAATTTTAAATTGAGAATTTTAACATAAAAATAGCATATTTAATTTTATATTGCCATTAATTTTATAATTACCTCTTATCCATGTTTAATCTAAATGAGAGGTCAGATCAAGGAGTTTAAACTGTGTTCCATGAAAGCTTCTATTATGCTCTAATATCAAATTTGTCCAATTAATAGGATTTGTGAAAATTCTGAATAAAAAATTAATGCGCAACCTTATCCTATATACTTAGTAAACAAGCATATTTTCAAAAAAATTTATTTTTTGAGAAAATACCCTAACTAATATCCTGTACATTTTAAAAATGTTTTTGTAAAAGTTAGTAGTTAAATAAACTTAAGTTGAGAAATTGCATTACCAAAAAACAGATATCCCATGTTTCCTTATTAGAGACTAAAATTTTTATTCAATTAGTATTTATTTAGAACATAAATTATTCATACAACTTATTTTCACATTAATTCTAAGGTTTTAAAATTATTGATAATACGATTTCTATTCACATGATGAACAAAAAGTTGAATTATTATTGTAAAACTATATTTATGATATTTAAGTATAAATTAATGGTCATTGGTTATTAAATAACGAAAAAATATTTGTTAGTTTTAGATTTCATAAAAGTGTTTTTTAATTATATACAAAATTATGTATGGTTATACAAATATTTTAATAATTTTTTCACAAATGGTAGAATGCTCATTTGTAGCAAGAAAATTATATTTATAATATTTTAGTATTAACAATGTTTTATCTTTCTTAGAATACATTTTTACAATATACTCTAATAATTTAATTTTCATTACACTTTAATTATTAAATTACTTACCAGAATATTTAAATTAAGTAATATATTAGTTTTTCTCCCACTATTTTCAGTTTCAATATTTACCAAAATCTGCTCACAAGATGAATTTCAGTTTTGTCATAATTAAAAAATTGTAAAATCAGAATTTTACTTGATCAAAATTCGTGTAAAATAATTTATTAATTACATACTTATAAAGTTAAGACTAAAGATAAATTAGGCTTAAAATAATAGAGATAAAAATAATGACACCTCACATGTACAACAATCTATCAAAGATAAGGCATTCAAAATGTCATAGCTTGTTGTGACAAATTCTATTATCTTTGATTCTTTGAATAATTTTAGTACTATCCTTTTTAAAATCTTGTTTGAGTGTAGAACTCATAAAATAAAATATACATATCAACGTGGTTTGCCACTTGCATAAAGACTAGTTATGGTAGCAAGGATCGCCACCACCTAGGTGAGGTGTCACACCTACCAGATATGATTACTGGACCATAGGTGGAATTTAATTTTAAGTTAATTAATAGTTTAATTTAAGTAAATATGCCGTTACATTTATAAATGATTAGAATACCTCGTGGCTTATTAACCACAACTGTGATAATTGAAATTGTAAATGATTGATATGTAAAAAATACCGTAGCCCGTGTCTAGATTAAGGAACAAGGATAATATACACGAGAGTACTTAAGTTATACGCGCAATAAAATAAATCTTACCGTTAAAATTAATAAGGAAATTTAATTTAATTGTTGAAAAAAAAAAAAAGAAAATTAAGTTAAACATGGACAAAAATACAAGTGTATCAAAAACCATGTCTGCAAAGAAAGGCAGCAAAAATAAAATAAAATATTTCAACAAAAAAAATAATATTATAAACATCACGGACGGTATTGGAACACATCCGTTAATGTTAATGGGAAATTAATGAAAAATACCAGGAGTGGTCTGGTTACTCGCTTCTTAGCGTTGGCTAGAAGGAATAGGAAAACACGTACATTCCACATATAAACAAAATTAAGTTAATTTATAATAAAATAAAAATGAAATAAAATAATTAATAAAATACAGCTCTTCACATAAATATATTCATAAAAAAAGAAAACGATACCCGGTCTCCAAAGAGACCCATCCGATGGTTTAGATGCTTCGTCTAATAGACCTGGCCGTTCGCCGTGAGCGCCTCTAGTCCATGATTGAAAATGCAGTTATAATAAAAAAACAAACGTGTGCCATCTAGCCCGGTCAATTACAGAAGCAAGAATGGAGAAGAGCCAAAACCGATCTAACGGCAACTTTAAATAAATAACGGCCAGTCTTTTTGGGAGAGATCAATACCGATAACAATTCGAGTTTAATTATATTTATTCTCTTTTGTCACATTATCTAGCGGTCAGCGACAAAAATAATAAGTTGTTGACACCGCTGCACCAGAAAAATGATCATTCGCGCAATTTTTTGCGTGATAAAGAATAAGTAAACATAACAAAATTATAAACAGTTCACCTTAGAAACCCAACCAAACGAAATTTAGTAAAATATCCTTACAAGTTGTCGTAATTCTGATTACACTAGTTAGAGCACAATTTTCTCCCAAATATTATTAGAGTTATCGATGCTCAAGAATGGAAAGGTTCTAATGCAAAAAACATGATTTAAAAAAATTAAATTATGATACTATTATATGAAACTTTAAATATCTAATTCAAGTTAACGCACTACATAATGAATGAAATAACTTCATTTATTATTTAAAAGATGAGTTGTAGTTCTTCAATGAACTTATTAAAATTTGTTTTTCAAAATTACATAAGAACCTATCTATTCAAAAGTGACGAAAAAATTAATAAAAACATTTACGGGCCGATATATAATAAATAACACATCATTGTCATGGAATATTTCATAAAAAACACTCTTGTTCTTATTTTATGAAAAATGTATTCAGTATTAAAATGACTGATAATTTGGTATTTGCAATCTGGAGATAAATTTCGCTAAATATTTTTAGATAATAAGTACTAAGAACTTTGACAATGATACGTATTATCACACTTAGTTCTATAAGATATTAGTGATTCACTAACAAAAATTAAGTAAAGAAATTGGTCCAGTCGTTCGCAGTTAGATTTTTTATGATGTATGGACACACATATTAATAATCAAATTAATAAAAAAAGAGACTAATAGTTCTGTTAAAAATTTCGAAAAATTAACTCAAATTAAAAAAATACTCATTGTTTTATTTTGTTGCACTCCGTGAAAATTTAAGTGCAATAGAAAACTTTAAGTAAGCCCCTCTTTGATTTATTTTTTAAAAAACAAAATAATTTACTAGGATATTTATTTAAAATAAATCATTTGAAAGGAATGGCGTGATAAGCTCAAGTCTGGGTAAGTAAATGATTTTTTTTCTTTAAAATTAAGGTAATTGATAGTTGAATTAATAAAGTTAAAAGTTGAGTTCATAAAATATTAACTTGACTAGTTAATTTAATGCCAGAAATAGTAAACATATTCTAAGAGTAAGATAGTAAAAAATGTTTCGAGTGGGTTTATACAATTTTTCACTTCCTGATTTATTTTTATACAACAAAATATGTTTCAAAGTTTTTGGAGAATAACAAAACGTATTTACCACTTAACCAGACTAATAAATAGTGCGATTGTCTTATTTATTAAAACAATTAGTGTTCCTAATAGTATGCCGGTTATTTATTAAACATCTTCTGTAGACGATAACGTTGAAAAATATTTGTTAATAGAATTTATCCATAAGAATACTTGTAAGCAGGGTTGTTACTCTTTAATCACTGCTTGTTTAAAACACAAAAATGCCCTATTTTACATTGACCTTATGGGACGTTTTAAATTATTTTAAACAGATTTTTTTAACATGTTTTTTAACAACCCTGTCTGTATGACACTGACC